CCCAAAGCCCTCCAGCGTCACCATGAAAAGGCCAGACTGGGGAGCCCCAGTTCCAGGCAAGACACAGAGGAGGTGTCAGCCTGAAAGCAGTGAGACTTTGTTAAGCTTTCGTAGTGGGTAGAGTACCCAGTCCTCTCTTCCACCTCCAGTGCTTAGTGGCAGGACCAGGTGTGCTCCCAGGAAGTCCCCTCCAGTCTGACAGGACTGGTTGATGTGGGAGAAGCACTCTACCAGGATAAAAAAAGGAGAGAGAGAGACCTGAACACACTGCTGAGGCTCTGGAAGGGACTTAGATAAAGACAGTGCAAGAAGTAGGAAAACGTCCTTTAAAAATCTGTTACATTGTCAGAGAGAGAAGGGATGAAATCAACTTTCTGAAACAAACGCAGAAATTGTGAAGAAGTGACAGAACAAAAAAAGTTATTGGAAATTAAAGGACATAGTGCCCCAAATTATAATATACCCTGAAAATATATCCTAATATATCCTGGAAAGTCACACTGAGAGGGTGTTGGGTGTGGCCAGGGAGCAGATGAAAAGCTGCAGTAACAAGGCCAGAAGAAATGGAACTGAAAGCAGCATGTTTGGCTCAGCAGGGAATGAGATGCTTGTTGCCAAAATAGTGACCCAGCAAAGTGCTGTGGTGACATCAGGAGGAGAGTGGGGAGGGTTAGGTGACTATGGGCAAGGGGTGGGGTAGCAGAGGGGGTTTGTGAGAAAGTCGGCTCGTCATCCACCACAGCAGTTAGTCAGTGATGGGTAGTTGACAAATTGATAAATAAAGAAATACGAAAAATACGAAATAAGTAAACATCAGATAGACCTGCTAATACTGTGCAGAGTGTGTCCCTAAGCAAGGGCCTCAGTGGCAGGGACATGTATGAAACCTCACTGCTGATGCTGTTTTGAATACAGCTTTTGTATAAAATGCTTTGGACATGTTACTTTGATCAGAAAAAACCCTTCAAAAAACGGAATATAAGCCACATGCAGTGGCTCACACCTGTCATCGCACCACTTTGGGAGGCGGAGGTGAGAGAATTGCCTGATACCCAAGGGTTCGAGGCCTGCCTGGGCAACTTGGCACGACCTCATCTCAACAATAAATCAAAAAACTAGCCAGGTGTGGTGGCACATGCCTGTGGTTCCAGCTACTTGGAAGGCTGAGGCGGAAGAATCACTTGAGCCCAGCAGGTTGAGACTGCAGGAGCCATGAGCATGTGTGCCCCTCACTTCAGCCTGGGTGACAAAGTGAGACTATGACTCAAAAAAAATTTTTTTTAAGCTTTTAAAAATTAAAAATAAAAATAAACTGAACATGTGCAGACCCTATTGTTAGCAGCTCCACTCCCAGCTAAGTCTGTTGCTCGTCAAAAAGGATTAGAATGTTCACAGCAGTCCCACTCAAGATGGCCAAAAGCTAGAAACTGCCCAAATGCTCCATGCAGGAGGATGGGCAGACAGACCACAGCTGTCTGCACAGGCAGACACTAGAGGACAAACGGCCTGTCACTCATGCCACAGGTGGGCCGCACTCAGAGGCTAGGGGGCCAGACACACCCACCTCTATCCTGGGCTCTGCAGGCCCTGTTCCCAGGGCACCCAACACTAGTTCGGCCATGCTGGGCTGCTCTGAGTTGGGATGTGGGCACTGCCAGGGCTGAGGACAGTCGGAGGCAGAAGACAGTCTGCAAGGCCACACCAGGTTGCTCTTGGCACAAATGCAGGTGACACGGCCAGTGCACGTAGTAGAGACACGCCAGGCTGCGCACTGAGGAGTGAGTGTCACTCCTGGTACAGAATTGTGTACATCACATATTACATGTCACATATGAGGTCAATTTTTACAAAGAATTGTAGCACAGGGAGAGCCGGGACACATGTGCCGTCCCCTACCATGGCTCAAGCCTGAGGACAGGCAAGGTGATGCCATCAGTCCCTCTAACTCTAGCTCTGATTCTGATTTAGTAACAGCACTTCCTATGATCTCATGATCATGGGTGCTCCTCACAGCCTACACTCTGGACACTGAGATGCCCTAGAGACAGGAATACTGGCAGGGCGTGGGGCACAGGGCGTGGGGTGCAGGCTCATTTCTAACATTGTCTTGGGTAGGTAGCTTTGTGCTCTGCTTTCTTCCAATTGGAATCCTCCCCAAAGATGCCCACAAGCCCTTCTATGCCGCTGGCGGTGGTGGCCGTGGCCTGTTTGGTCCTGGGTGTCAGAAGGGTCCTGTGTTGGCTTCTTCTGTTGAATCCTGAGTTTCTGAGATTCATCCCAGGACTATGGCTGGGCATTGGTTCTTTATCCTTTTTATTGTTGCTGTTTGGTTGGTTCCCAGTCTGGGGCTGTGAGGCAGTGTGCCTTTCGCCAGCCTCATGATGTCCCTGGCAAGCACAGGAACCATTTCTGCCTACCAGGAGCAGCGCTGTAGCAGCACAGGTTGTCAGCGTGTCCAGCTGTAGAAACCCTGGCTGCTTCCCTGAGTGGTGGTCCCACCGGGCCTGTAAGAATGTGAGATTTCCCACCCTCTCTCCATCCTCCCTGTGCCCCCTCATCATGGCCGTCGTGAGAGCAGGTGTCAGTATTGTTTCAAGCGGTGCCAGCAGGTATATGTGCCCACACAGCAGCCATGGAAGAAGGTGTGGTGTCCTCTCCCCCAGCCCCCCGCTTGCTGGCCACAGGGTCTGCCCCTCTGGGGTAGTGTGGGGCACAGGGGCTGATGGGGACAGAGACGTCTCACCACTAGGCTGTCCCAGAGATCCCGGCTCATCATGGAGACGTGCTCAACTTTCAGCCTTCCTGGGCACACAAGTGGGTCTCCACACCACATACACATCCACATCATCACTTCAGTGTGCTCGTCTGCTCGCCCCTTGGTAGCTCCACCAGATGGGACCTGAGACCATGTCTGGTCCACAGGGAAAACCCTCAGCCCCTTTCATCATCCCAGTGGCAGAGGCAGAGCCCAGAGAAGCTGCTTATGGGTAACCTGCAAGCCCGAATAAACTGCCTCTGGGTGACCCACAAAACAAAATGCAGCCTTCCAGCCAAGGCCTCTGAGCCCCAGTGCAGCCTCCACTGAGGCCCACAAGCCCAAATGCATCCTCCCACCCAAGACTCCCAAGTCCCAATGCAGCCTCCCAGCCGAGACCTACAAGCCTGAATGCAGCCTCCCAGCCAAGGCTCTCAAGCACCAATGCAGCCTCCCAGCCAAGTTTCCCAAGCTTCAATGCAGCCTCCTAGCCAAGGCCCTGGTGCAAGTGTACAGAGCCAGCACGTGCAGGGACCTTGGAGTCTCCCCTGCAAGTCTCTCCACCAGGCACAAGATGCTACCCAAGGATGTTGGGGTTACCGCAGGCCACACCCCAAATCAGAACCGCCCCAATCCCTGGCCCTCAGATACTGTTAGCCTCAGTGACTATTCTTATTTTCAACTACAGTTTGGGGCTGGTGTGTTTCTCAGCAATGTGACATCACAGACATGAAGGTGGGAGGGGGCTGTCTGGGGCAGGTGCCTGGGTGCCCTCGGGCCTCTCCAGGCCACAGAGAGCGACAGGTCGGGCTGCCCAAGGGGTGCCTGGACACCTGGTCTTCAGAAACCCAGTGGCAGGCAGGTGGCCAGGTCTCTGAGGGTGCAGATATTTATCATAACCATGATGTTGACTGTTTCTGTCAGAAAGAAGATACCCACTCCAATCAGGTTATCTGTGGGCTCTATTTGCAAAGATGGCATAGGAGTCATGAGGGACAGCATGGGGGCCAGGGCCAGGACTGTCTGAGTCATTCCCACCCAAGGCCTGAGGGAGTGGAAGGGAGGGCAAAGCAGGACCAGGGGCTACCCTGCATGCCAAGGCTCCAGGGCTGTGCTAGTACGGTGACCCTGGAGTGGGAAAGACCTCAGGCTCTAAGGGCCTGCCCAGCTCCACCAGGTAGAAAGAGGGGCAAGCACAGAAGGGCCAGCCGGGGGAGGTGGGTGGAAGGTGGTGCCCAGGCAGAGGCTCAGGGCTGGTCGGGGCTTTCCAAGCCCAAGAGATGGTGAGGGTGGAGAACTGACCAACAGGCTTCTGCCAGAGGAAGCCACAGCTTATTCCTTCATTGCGCTGCTGCTGCAACATTCCTTCCTGGCACTTAAAGAAGCCCCGAGGGTCTTGGCTGGGACAGGTGTCATCTCCAAGCCTCCCTCCCCTTTGCCAGACCCCTTTCTGGAATGGACCATGGAGAGAAGCCCCCAAGGTCTCAGCTGGGGTGGTTGCCATCCCTGGCCTTCCCCACCTTGGCCCGTCCCCTCTTTCTGGAATGAGCTATGGAGAGAAGCCCTGAGGGTGTCAGCTGGGGCAGGTGCTGTCCCTCAGCCTTCCCTGCCTTGGCCAGCCCCTCTTTCTGGAACAGGCCATAGAGAGAAGCCCTGAGGGTCTCAGCTGGGGAGGGTGCCATCTCCCAGCCTTCTCTGCCTTGGCAAGTCCTCTCTTTCTGGACCGGGTCACAGAGAGATGCCCCCGAGAGTCTCAGCTGGAGTGGGTGCCATTCCCCATCCTTCCCTGCTTTGGCCCATCCCCTCTTTCTGGAATGGGCTGTAGAGAGAAGCCTCTGAGAGTCTCAGTTAGGGCAGGCACCAACCCCAGCCTTCTCCATCTTGGTCAGCCCCTCTTTCTGAAACGGGCCATAGAGAGAAGCCCCAAGGATCTCGACTGGGTGGGTGCCATCCCCGGCCTGCCCCACCTTGGCTAATCCCTTCTTTCTGGAATGGGCTGTAGAGAGAAGCCCCCGAGAGTCTAAGTTGAGGTGGGTGCCATCCCCGGTCTTCCCTGCCTTGACAAGTCCTTTCTTTCACGAACAGGCTGTAAAGAGAAGCCACTGAGGGTGTCGGCTGGGGCGGGTGCCTTCTCTGGCCTTCCCAGACTTGGCCAGCCTCCTTTTTCTGGAATGGGCTGTGGATGAGCCCTCCACTCCCTGCTGCCCCCACCCCACCCTGACTTCCTCTCTTCTCACCTCCACAGACTAACAAGGCCGTAGCCAAGGGTGACTTGCACCAGGCCAGCACCAGCTCCCGGCGGGCCCTGTTCCTGGCGGTGCTGTCCATCACCATAGGGACGGGCGTCTACGTGGGTGTGGCCGTGGCCCTCATCGCCTACCTCTCCAAGAACAACCACCTGTGAGCTTCCTGGGGTGGAGGGGCAGCACCCGAGGCCAGCCTGCGAAGCGGAGGATGCAGACACCCCGCATGACGCTGTACAGTCCTGACGACCGCCCAGCGACGCCATGGCACCCTGGAGCTTCCTGGCCATGGGTGTCCTGACCTCGCCCTTTAACTTCATGTTCACAGCACTGTGCAGAGCACAGATGGATGGGCACCGCTGAAGCTGCCGAGGGCAAGCTCTGAAGATCCCAGCCCGTGCAGCTCTCTCTGAGGGTTTCTGGTGGGTCCATGACAGCAACCAGGCGCCTCCACACTAGCAATACACAGACAGTGAAAAAGTGTTTATTTTTTATGGACCATGGTGCAGAAGGAAGAGGGCAGGGACACATCACTCTTCAGTCTGGCCCTGCTCGACTCCCTGTGCCACCGTCCACACGCCTTCCCTGCAGGATGATGGGGCGAGGAGGGTGACACCAGGACCCCCAGCTGTCACAGTCCACAGACGGAGCGACCCAACCCTAGGAGCGCGGAGTCAGTGCACACAGGGCTCGTCCCCATCCCGGGGACACTGAGGAAGGTGTCCACCCTCAGCAGCCACCTGCAGCAATACGCAATCCAGGGCCTTGGGGGTATGGGATGGGCTGCCCCTACCACAGTCCACAAATAGGGGTTCCGTGGCTGTTCCAGAAACTCCAGGCAGCAGAGCCATGGGACCACCTTGGTGTAGAGACAGGGGCTTCTGCAAGCTCCGCCCTCACCAACACCCAACACCCACCCCAGCCATTGCTGTGATGGGTGACCCCGGACGCGTGACAGGCCCTCCTCTGCCAACAAAATGAAAGCTATTTTCTTGTCATTTTTTAAGGGCAACTCTCGCTTCCTGCTGCTTGTTTCAGACGAATGCTGAGAATAAGTCATTGCAGACACCCTACGACCATTCCGTTGCTGTTTTACGAGTGTTCATTACTCAAAAAAAACACTATCTTTTAGCTTTTTGGCTCAAGACTCTTTTTTCTGATGAGTCGTCGTGGTCGGGTTTTTTCGTGGTTTAAGACACTACAGAGGCACACAGGCCTCAGCTGCTGGGACCCCAGGAGGGTCCCTCACAGACCCACACGGAGAACACCGCTTATAAGCATCATCATCCTCGTTCTCTCAGGGGATGCAAAGGCCCCTGCTCCAGGACGCTGGTTCTTCCCACAGCACTTAAAAAGAAGCCCTAATTCAATTGGCCAGGCATGTGGCTGGCAGGGCTGACATGCAGCTGAAACCCAGAACCACTGTCCTGGAATGAAGACAACATCCTTGAACCCTCACTGTTACTCTCCCCCTCAACCTTGAACATCTAATACCCTGAAACTGTCAGCACTGCCTTCCTGGGTCAAATCCATCTAGCATTGTCTCTAATGGATGGTCCAAAATGTACCCTAAGACCTTAGCCCTGTGATGAACATAGGGAAGCAGTGGACATCCCTGCAGGAGTTAGAAGTACTCAGTCATAGAGCGCATGGGAAGTAGGATCAGCCCACCTGGACTTGAATCCAGTGGTGCTGCTTTCTAGCTGTGTGATCTTGAGTGAATAACTGCATTTCTCTGAACCTCATCTCTAGGAGGGGATGGTCAACAAAGCCATTTCAAAGGATGATGGGGCATGCATGAGGCACAGAGTACCATCACAGTGGCTGTCAGTGTCCATGGCAGGCCATCCCTAGCTAGCTGACATCTTTCCATATTTCAGCCTGACTGTCAGATTGGGATGTCATGAACCATTGTATAAGATGAGCCTCTTTGTGTTTGTCCTGGAATGATCCATTTTAAGTCTGGTGTGCCCACACAGCATAGCTCCGGGCTTGATAAAGTAGAAAGAACCCATGCATCCTCGCCCACATCTCCACAGGCACCACCACAGTGACCCCAAGCCAGTCCCCAGTGCCAGACACTTCACCCTCTAAACCAGCTGCCCGTCTCGCTCCAGGCCTCAGTTTCCAAAGTCCAGCTCTTGCTCTACTTCCTCAAGTTCCCTGAGTCTTCCCAAGGGCCAGGGAATAGTGACCACCTGTAATGCCGTATTAGAGTGAGTGGTCCCAAGTGTGCGTGAGGCCAGGGCCAGCTGAAGGCAGCCTGGGTCTGCCTGGTAGGGAGACATAGCATGTGACAACCCTGCAGCACTGGCCTGGCCTTGGCAGTGGGGGAAGGGGTACAAGGTCATCTTCAGGGCTGTGTTGGTGACTACAGGCATTAAAACTGTCCACTACAGAGGGTGGCCTGTGACCCCTTGGGTCTGCATCACAATTGTGGCCTACATGCACCCACCAAGCCCTGCTATGTCAGCCCTGCTGGGCGCTTGGCACCACCATGCCACCTTACGCTCTCAGGTCCCCAGGGCTGGTGGGGGTGCTGGACACCACAGAAAGGAACACACAGGCCCACATGAGCAAGTGTGGGGTGAAGAAAGAAGCCCACCTCAGCTCACCCTTGCATGTCCCCGGGGCAGGTGGGAGAGAGGACACCACAGAGGGGAGCCACCAGACCCATGTGCACAGGTACAAGGCTGGGACAGAGCCCTATCACACAGACCTGTCCACTTCCCGGGAGCAGGCCCTGACACACCTAGTCTGATCCCTCCGTGAGCAAGGCCTTCCCTTCTGCTCCTGCAAATTGAACCCCCAGGAAGACTCTTCCCTGCACTCCCAGTCTTGGCACACAGAGACCTAGCACGGGAGTGATGTTCCCAAGTCCTGCAGCCAGCAGTGGCCAAGGCACAACCCAGTCCACCGGCCCTGCTGTCCTGGCCTTCCTGTGATGCTGGGTCACCTCTGCTGTCCTCACCAAGCAGGAGAAACTGCATGGGGCCCAGATCACACGGTGGGAGGTCAAGGCCCTTTGGGATTTGAGGAGGGCATCTGGGTTATACTTTGCAGCCTATCTTTGCAGGAAGTGGGAGTAATTTGGGGAGAAGGATGAAAAAGCCTAAAGTGATGGCCAGAAATGACATCCTGACAAAGCACTTAGGGTGTGACTCATCCTAAGCGCTTAGGGTGTGACTCATCCTAAAGCTCTCCATCCTTAGGGGTGTCCGTGGTGCACACATGCCCACCTACTTCAGGTCTCCTTTGTCCCGTGTACTCGGTATTCCTTACTTCACTGTGTGTCCACATCCTGCCAGGTGTCCCTACTTCACCAGGTGTCCTCACCTCACCATGTGTCCCCACCTCACCAGGTGTCTCTACCTTCCCAGGTGTCCCCACCTCACCAGGTGTCCCTACCTCCCCAGGTGTCCCTGCTTTACCAGGTGTTCCTATCCAATCAAGTGTCCCCAGCCCTAAATCCCATGTGATGTGAGGCCACTGTCACACAGGACTGAGAGCTGGCTCGCGGCCTGCTGGACACAGTTGATGGTGATCTCTGGTCCCTTCAGTCTATTGAAGGCCCAGATCCAAGCGGTGCCCATGACCACATGTGCTGGAGGTTCCAGGGAAGAGAATAGGGAAGCCCATGAGCTGAATTCACACAAACTGAGTCCACACTAGCCGGGCACAGCACTCAGGGTGAGCACGCGTGATGTCCACATGTCCAGCACCACTGGCCGACCATCACCAGGCCCACAGGTCATGCACTAGAGCCATTGGTTAGGAGTGACAAGGACATCTTTGACTGACCAAGACCTTCTCCCATGTTCACCATGGGCACCTCCATTGCCTAATAACACATCTCCTCTTACCACGCTGAGTCCAAATGTCACAGGCCACATGGTTTCCAGACTTGGTTATGTATCATTGCCTGGAGCGTCTGCCTCCACTGCAGTCCAAGATGAGCCTCGTCCAGCATGGCTCCCCTGCGCCTCTGTGCCCATCCAGGAATTCAGGGGCTGCCCTGGTGGATCCGGGTGGCCAGAGGCTGTCCCAATATCAGAGCCTCACCACCCGCCTCCTCTGTCACCCAGATGCCCTTGCTCTGGCAGAATGAGAATAAGCCCCGGGCTGTGCTTACCCAGGCCAGAGGGAAAGGCTCCTCCATCTGACATCAGCACCCAGGGTACACTCAGTCAGCAGAGACAGAGTGAATATGGGGCATGCTGCAAGGCACCGAGTAAGGGCAGGAGAGTATATCCCTGCACCCCCATTTCCTTTAGGGATTTGTGCTTTGTGTTTCACTGAAATCAGGTCACTTGGGTTCAGTCTGAAGAGAGATACATAGATACATAGATACAAGAATACAAGGATACATAGACACACAGATAAGTACTGGGGGGGGTGCCAAAAAATGCATACACATTTTTAAGTATGACACTCACTAAAATAAGGCATTAATCAAATAAATGCTAGCGTCACCATGCAGCATGCAGGATAGTCAAAGAAAATGGCAGAAGCATGGTTGAGTGCATGTCACATTACACATTGTTACTGTAATTCAATTCAATTTCAAAAAGTGATACATAGAAAACACTTCTTAAAATGTGTATACCTTTTTTGGCACCCCAGTAGATACAAAGTTAGATACTCAGAGGGACATCAGTAAGATATTCTGTACCTGTGAGGGAGAGAGATGCCAGCCCTACATCCAGCCCTAGAGCCAACTCTTCCCGTTTTCATGGACCTTCGGTTTTGACACCTCTCAACACCTGCATCCAACTTGTGACTCAGCCAACAAATAAGCAGGGACTTGGGTCTGTTGTCTAGAGAGAACAGAAAGCCCTAGGTGGGCTCAAATTACTTTATCAAAACAATCACGTTTTGCCATCAGCACAAGACAGTCCCAGCTCCCCTAAGTCCCCAGACGTGTCTTTGTTCCTGGGACACTGGCTGGCTGTGGTAAGTGGCATCCGCCTTCCATTGGATTGCCGGTTGCTGCCTGGCTCTGCCTGCAGGAGGCTGGGTGGGTGGAGGCTGGGGAGAGCTGGGCAGTCCCTGGTGAGAGAGCGAGGTGTGTCTTCCTCTCTCACCCAGAGGCCCCACGTCACCTGCAGCAACAGGCATTGATGCAGAAGGCGAGCAGGCTACTCCGGTGTCCCTCACCCTTCCTTTTAGTCCATGATGGAGAAATAGAAAAGACTTAAAAGTGGAACTCACCAGAAAGCTCCTCTTCATTGTCCCCTGGGAAAGTCTTGTGTCAGAGCACCCTAACCCCATCCTCATGTGACCCTCGTGGACTCTCCCACCGGTGTCTTAACCTTCAGTGCAGATTGACCTGTCCTCGAGTTTGCGCAGTCCTGGCAGTCCCTGCCACACCTGATACACAGTTCCAGGAGATGTTTTCCCAGTGTACCGTCCACCCCCGGGAATAAATCTGGCCTTGGGTTCAGTCGAGGAGCACTGCGGCCTGTGTCCTCCCAACTATGGCTAGGGGACAGCCCAGCTCTCCCCAAGTGGTACCTCACTGAAACCCTGGACAAGAGGGTACCTAGCTATGTCCCTGGCCAGAGCGGCCCCCAGGGTATTGTGGCCCCAGGAGTATATGCCCCTGGGAAGTCAGGATGGTTCCTAGAGCAGGGCATCCTCAGATGGGAAAGGGACCCTCTCCCAGGGGATATCTGGCATCAGACTCACCTAAGTGACCATGGAGGCTGAGGCCAAAGCCACAAGGCCAGAGGATGAGGAGCCAGAGATCTGGGAGATCCTCATGGGCACCGTGCACAGGAATAGCCAAGACCTGGAGGCAAACGGAAGGAACTGCTAGGGGCTGTCTTGTGCCTGCTCCAGGGACAGCTGCTGATGTCTGGAGATGTTTTGGTTGCTGAGTCCACAGGCCCAAAGACTCATCACTGCGTAAATTATAGAAATGAAGCGTATCAGGAGATCATTTTCTTTTTGGCTCCCAGCCAGGCTTCCCTTGGTGAGACGGCTGTAAATCCTGCAGTCCCAAGCGGCGTCCTCCCTCCCTCCTTGTGGCAACAGTGGTGACCTCTCAGCTCCGACCTGTGGCTCCATGGACTCCCGGCAGCTTCTCGGCCTGGCTGTGCCAACTCCAGCTCCTGCCCCAGGACTCTGTC